GGGCCATCACCAAGCTCGCAGTAGGCCCGGCCCACTGTCCCCCTCAAACAAGTCCAGCTGCAGAGTGGCCTGCCAAGTGGTGCCAACACCAAGCGGCCATCGCCTCGCACAGTGAGATTTGCTCCTCCCCGGTGATTTTTTGGGTGAGGTGATGGTGGTTGTCATCGGCTGCTGTGGCGTTGGCCCCTGAGACATGGTGACTCCGTGCACAGTTCCTGCCAGTGTGGGACGGAGTCCGTGGGATTTTCGGTGGCTGAGTTTGGGAAGTAAATCGCCAGGCCCTTCTTCTTGGCCTGAATCTAGAAGCTCTGCGGAAAGCGGTGTTAAGTATCACAGTGGCTTGGAAGCCGCTGCTGACAGGTGGGTGGTGGTGGCCGGCAGGGAGATGTTGCCGAGACAGTGTGAGATGCTGTCGAGTCCGTTCTGACTCCCAGGGATCCTCTGCGCCACAGAAGGAAGCAGAATCCTGCTTGGTCTTGTGCCATTCTCACCATTGCCAACGCCAGCCCCCGTTGTTGCAGCCGCTGCCTCCGTCTCTCTCCTTGAGTGTGTGTGTCTGTCTGTCTTTCCATCTTTCCCTGATCCTCCGCTTTACCAAGCATGGTCTCCAGGGACTGGTCTCTGCTGATAGCACCTCTAAAGTATGTGAGATGACCACGTCCCACCATCTTTACTTCTGAAAGAGCATTCTGGCTGAACTTCATCCAAGACAAATGTGTGTGTTCTTCTGGCAGTCCACGGACTGTCAGTAGGCTTCGTGGTGAGCCCGAGAGGTTAGGCGTTTGCTAAAAGGCCCTCTGCTCTGTAGCTCTTTCTCTTGCTCATTCGGGAATTCTGGAGAAATAGCCTCGTGATGATGTCAGCGCTTGCTCATTTGCACTTGACTTGCCTGAATAACGTTTGCATCCCTCTGAAGCCTCCCACCCTTGCTCTGCCCCTGGAACCAGCTCAGACCTGGAATTCCCTCCACAGTGGGACAGCTGAGTCTTATCTGTAATCTCCCATGAGAATTTACTGAGCAATACTGCCTCAGTATCACCTGTCCAGGAAATAATTGAGGAAGCGGTTCTATTTAGGGTTGGATTGTTGGGTCAACAGAATAGCCTCTCAAGAAAATGTCCATGAAAAAGACCAGACTTGGCAGGCTGTCTCTGTGGTAAAACACCAGTCTTCTTGCCTGTGGTCATATTAATTTAATCACACATCTGTTCCATAGAGGTTTTTAATGACAAGAACTCCAGCAGACATTGGCTGGACTTAGCCACAGATGTGTGCACTGACAGGGTGCGGAGCATGCCCACAATGGAGCTGCATGAGGCCAGGAGGCAGAAAGTGGGCAGCTCCAGAGGTCTGCCAGGCAGGGGCTGAGGGTCCACTCCTTAGCACAGACAGTTGACGGTGCATTTCCAGCCAAGATCTCGTATCTGGCCCTTTGAGGTTTCTGCCCACCCATCCCTGGAGCCTTGGTGGCGTCATGGGTTACTTGCTGGGCTACTGACCGCAGGCCGGAAACCACAGGGCTCCTTAGGAGAAAGATGTGGCTGTCTGCTCCCATGAAGGGTTACAGTCCTGGAAACTACGGCAGCATCTCTCCCCTGTCCAGTAGGGTCGCGATGAGTCAGAATTGACTCGATGGCTGGTGTGCCTGCAGCAGTGGGAAAGGAGAATGGGGCCGCCTTGCGTGGCAGTGCAGTGGCTCAGAATGAGGAGTCCTCTCTCTTTTGAAAGTGGAGGTCTGTCTGGGTCTCCTAGGGCGGCCAGAGCAAAGTACCACCAAGTGGCTGGCTTTCCAGGACAGAAAGCTAGTGTCCTCTTTTGGCTTTGTTTAGGGGACTAACTGCTCATAGGTACAAGGCTTCTTTTGGCGGCGATGAAGATGCTCTAAAAGTGATGGGGATGATGGCTGTGATTGAGACAATCTGTGATGGAAACCATTCGTGGAAAAGCGGGATGAAAAGATACTTTCTCCGTGAACTTTTTGAAGCCCCCTCGTACAAAGTACCGTTTGGTAGGTTGCGTTGTGTGATAGGTGAATGACATCTCAGTAACCGTGTGGCATAGTGGTACACATGTTGGGCTGCCAGCCGTAATGTCAGCAGTTCGAAATCACCAGCTACTTTTAGGGAGGAAGACAGGACTTTCTACTCTTGTAAAGAGTTAAAGGCTCGGAAATCCACAGTGGCAGTTCTCCCTGTCTTATAGGGTCGCTGTGAATCAGCCTGGAACCCATGGTCGTGAAACTTTGAGAAGCATGGTATGTGGATACTTGGGCAATGCAAATGTTTTGGGTTTGACTGCTGTATTTGGCAGGGTTCCCTAGAGAAGCAAAACTAGGATGCTCATGCTTTTATATATGAGTGAATACGCTTAGTAGTTAAGAGGCATATAACAGCAAATTAGTCCACACAGCAGTACAGAGAGCTCAGTCTGACTCCCTTTCATGGGTCTGTTAGTAGACTGAAGGCCTTTCCAACTCTCATGGCTACTCGTCCAAGGCCAAGGAAGCAGACAGTGGGAAGATGAGGTGGCGAGGTGTAGCAGAGGCCAGTCACACAGCGTGGTGAAGCAGGTCACGGGGTAGCCTCACCTTATGGTGATGTGAGGCGGCTGGCTGGAGGGACAGCATCCGGAGTGGGGCAAGATGAGCTCACAGGCAGCAGACATGGCAGGTGGAGCTGTGCCGTGGCGTAGAGCAGCACGTCACAGCGACCATGGTTGGCTCAGCAAGGTGGCGCAGAGCCCTGCACAACCTCCAGATAGCACTGCCCACATAAGGAGGCAGGGCAGCTGGATGAAGCAGAGTCCTGGTTGGACCTCCAAGGAGAGAGAGAAAGAGAGGCCGGCCTCCAGAGAGCCATATGTCTAGGTTGTGCCATCAAGGGAAGTCATCAGGCTGCGACATAATTGGCAGACTACACTCCACCCAAATCTTCTTACAGGTGCCATGTTAGCCAAAAACGTAACTGTCACAACTACTGATTGAGGGCTTGGTGGTTTGAACCCAGCTAGTGTGGTCACAGAAGAAAGGCCTGGTGATCTGCTTCCGTACAGGTGACAGCCCGGACAACTCTGCAGAGCGGTTCTACTCGGTAACAAGAGGGGTGGGGTGCCACCAGTCAGAATCGACTATGGCAACAGGTTTGTGTTTTTGTTCTTAGATAGTGCATTCATTGTCTGCAGGTGAAAAGTCCAAATCAGGATATGGATCTGGTAACTTCCTTCTGGGCGCTCTGAGGAAGAGTTTCCTGTGCCTCTCCACTGGCTGCCGGCATCTCCCAGCAGTCCTGGAGGTTCCTTGGCTTGTTGACGTATCTTCACGTGGCACTTTGTCCCTGTAGTTCCAGCCCAGTGCTTTTCCTTCTCTTTCCTAAGTGAGGAACTGGCCTGTGGGCAGCAGTTCACCCCCTCCAGTTTCACAAGAGAAAGGAGGAGAATCTCCAGCCCAAGGGTAATTCCTGTGAAGCTGAGGTCAGACATGCCTCCACCCTTCTGGATCCCTGAGCCAACCCCACCCCCCACCACACACAACATTCCAGTTTTCTGCTGGGCTTGATAGTCCACACAGTGCACAGATAATACTCTAAATTATGGGGTTTTAGCAGGGAAGCTAACAGGTTACAAGTCAGGATCAGAAATGGCAAGGATGCAGCAGTTCTTCAGTCAAAACAGCCTCTTCTCTGGGTACCTGTCTCAGGCCCTTACACCCTCAGCCCTGCTCGGACAGGTGCAATCAAACTCCTTTGGTGCTGATACACCCAAGGAGCTCCCCACACTGCGAGCCAGACCCCTACCGAAACGCGCTCAGTTTTACTCATTCTATGAACCACAAAGCCCACTGCTCTGTCTTGTGGTTTTGGTGTTGCCTTCTCTGCTTCGGCTGTGGCTGCTGCCACTTCACACAAGGGTCTCAGGGTCCAAAAGACATGTTCCACTTGAGGCTCTTCTTTCACGATGGTTATGAATTACCCTGTACCTGCTTCCGAGATGGCTCAGCTTATACCAGCAAAGCTAGCCAATGCCCACATCAGGTTTTCTTAAACCCTATTTGTGTGCTCCCACCCCGTGGTTTGGTGGGAGCTATAAAGACTAATTGCTACAAGAGTCATAGCCAGGAAGTCAACTGCACCACAATAGCACACAACTTGGATGGGATTACGCCCTCTTCCAAGACCCTGTTTCCAAACAAGGCCCTGTTCACAGGCTTTAGGGGTTAGGATGTCAGCATTTTGCGGGGGAAGAACAGAATTAAATTCATGACAAGGACCTTCACCAACAAACGAGGAAGAAGACCCCGAGGAGTCTGGGTGCTTTCCGCCAATCATAAACATGATTCATCACACACCCTGCATAGCCCTCATTCCAGCATGGGGGATGGCGCTAAGGTTTCCTAGTTGTGCTTTTGCTGATAGGAACTGGCCTGATATCTGACCATGGCTGCTATGTAGAATTCACTAGAAAAGGACATCATGTTTCATAAAGTAGGTCGGTGAAAATGAGAGATGAGTTGGCACAATAGCCACCACAGTGAACTCAGGTATACCCATCCTCATGAGGATGGAATGGAACAGGGAGACATTTAGTTCTGTTGTACATGAAGTTTCAGGGAACCCTGGTGGTGTAGTGGGCTATGTGTTGGGCAGCTAACTGCAAAGGCAAAACCATGGGTCATTCCATAGAAGCAGGATGAGGCTGTCTACTACTGCAGAGATGTGCAGTCTCTGACATGCACAGAGGCCGTGCTACTCTGCCCTGTAGGGTCACTAAGAGTGGGAATTGACTCAATGGCCGTGTGTTTGGTTTGGGGTTGTGTACATAAGCCAAATCGATGGCAACTAAGCTCACCAACTGAACATGAGTACAGTTGAATGGAAACTAGCCTAGTTCTCTTTTCCTGAATTTGCAGAACTGGTAGCAAACGGGTAACTTCCAAATTTACATGTGCAGAGCTCAGAGAAGCCCGTGTGCCCATGTACCCTCACCGGCCTCCTTTTCCCTTCCAGGGCCCGCTGCTGCTCACCTTTGAGGAGGACCCGCTGCAGCAGCCCTTGGAGCTGGCCGTGCAGCAAGTCTCCAGTGTGTCCAGGTCCGCCCAGGAGAAGGTAAGGGGCAGGCGTGGGAGATGCTCACCTGTGGCAGGCCTTTCTAGACAGGAGGAAGGGCATTGATGCCAGGGGCCAGTGGAGTTTGTCTTAAAGGCAGAGACCTACATGACCAACCACGTCTAGTCCATCAACCATTGAACAGATAGGCACAATATGGTGCGTGTGTGTGTGTGTGTGTGTGTGTGTGTGTGTGTGTGTGTGGTAGGATCTTATCTGACCTTGTAAAGGAAAGAACTTCCGACACACGCCATGACACGGATGGGCCCTGAGAGGACTGCTGAGAGAAAGAAGCATAATGGACAAGTAGCAACCATTTCACTGTTTCAGTGAAATGACCCCTTTTATAATGAAGTGTGCAGAATAGGGGATCTGTAGACATAGGCTTCCCGGGGCTGGGTGGAAGGAGTCTTGGGGGGAAATGGAGAGTGGTTGCTAATGCTAGGCTTCCTCTTGGGGTGATGAGAACATTCTAGATGTGATTGTGGTGATGGTTGCACTACTCTGGATATGGTAAGCAGCATTGACATACACATCTGAGATGGGGGAATGGTATGCTATGTGATAAAATTGATGCAGGTATGCATCACTTAGCGTCCATGATTTGTTCTGTGATATAGGATGCTGTGTGATTTGGATCTTGTACAAATCCCATAGTGAAGGATTTTGTACCAGGGGCCTTATGGAATAAAAAGATAATGGACTTTTCCCACGATGCTTTGAAGTTCCCGTATAGATGTGCCCGTGCACGCATGTGTGTAATACATAAATGTATACTGTACATACTTATGTGAAGGTCCGAAGTGGTTTGCGCAGGATGAGTAACTGCTAAATTGATGGTTTGAATTCACTCAGTCATGCCTTGGAAGAAAGCCCAGGGATGAGTTGGCATTGACTCGACGATAGCTGGTGTGTGTGTTGTGTTGTGTTGTGTTGTGGTGTGGTGTGTTGTTGGCTATAGTTGGGTCTGCTCTCACTCATGGCTATACTGGACATGACAGAAGGAAGTACTTCCTGGACTTGTGCCGTCCTCATGGTCACTTGTGGATCACACCATTGGGATCTATAGGGTTTCCACTGGGCAGCCTTTGGAAGCACCATATATACTAGTGTATACGCCCAGTTTTTCAGCACATTTTTAATGCAGTTTTGTGGTACAATTAGGTGCCTCGGCTGATATTCGGGTCGGCTTATACTCGAGTAAATACTGTAGATTGCCAAAGTCTGTCTTGGTGAACTGAAGTGAAAAGCCCTTCCAAACCCTGCCCACCTGGAGTGACTCCACTGGTCTTTAAAGTCAGGCGGCACAGCTTCCCGCAGCCCAGCCACAAGCAGGCACCCCAGTGCAGCACACTGACAGATGGCCAGGGAACGTCTTCCTTTGGGCGGGGCTGGGTCAGCTGCAGCCCAAGGTTGCAGCCCCGCAGATCTGCGAAGGACTGTGAGCTGCAGCGCCCTGTCTGTGCCCGCTTAAGCCTGACCGTCACAGCGGTAGCTGCGCCCATTTTCCCATGAACTTCCTGAAGCCCCCTCGTTTAGATGGATAATGTAGTGATCTTTCTCTTTTCACAAGCACAGACCACACTGTCGTGAGAGCATGCATGTCGCCTGTCTCCACACACTCACACGAGTTTCTCAGAGGTGCATCAGAGTGCTGGGTCCTAGTGTGTCCATTTCAGCACAACTGGGTGTCCTGAAACAGCCTCCCGAGTGTGGGCCCCAGGCCCTCGGCCCAGCAGCACACACTGTGTTTCCTCAGACTCTTGTCAGTATGCGATCACGCAATGAGAGAATCCTCGGACTGAGTGTGAGGAAGCTTCTGGAAGACCCCAGGCCATGGGGCTACAAGCCTGCAGCAACCAGGCAGGATGTCAGCAGCTACAGAGCTAGAGAGGGAGTGGATAGTTCCGTGCCTGGTCTTGAAGATAGTGGAGCAGAGGCGTAGAGAGCTTCCAGGCTCAGCCCCCAGGCCCTCTGTTTGAGAAGTGACTCTCGGTGCAGGGAGTGCCCCTTACTGCCAAGTAGGGATCGGCTGCCTTGGTAGTGGCTGGTCTCTCTGTGTGTCTCCTGACACTTGTCCAGTTAGGAGAAGAGGGAAGCATGCAGGGCTGGCCTGGGGGTATGGATGAGGAAGCAGTCAGGCCGTGAACACAGTGCAGGCCCTTCGTATCTCCACAGTCAGCCTTACTGAAACAGTGTTTGCCCTCCTTGTCAGGAGTCCAAGCCCCATAGCTGTGAAGGTTGGTGCATGGCTGGAATGGGGTCCTTCCAACATAGGTGCTGGAATCCTGACCCTGGCAGCTGTGGGTGTGCCCTGCTTTGGAAGTAAGCTTGGCTTTGTCTAGGTTAGACCGTGTCAGGCATGTCTGAAACTTATCATCGTTGACAGGTAGAAAGAGCAGTTCAGACACAGAGAAGCTAGCACAGGTGGGAGCAGATGGATGCCAAGTGGCGCTCTCTTAAGGACCAAGGAAGAGTCCCCTTAAAAATGCCGAGACTCCTCCCTGACGATTTCCACTTCCAGGACCAGTGAAGACATACACACACAAGTAAAAATAATAACCCTGGTGGGGCGTAGTGGTAATGCATTGAGCCGCAAATAACGCATTGAGCCGCAAAGCACAACGCCAGCAGTTTGAAACTACCAGCCGCTCTGCAGGAGAAAGGAGAGGCTTTCTGGTCCCGCAGAGAGTGACAGTCCATGAACCCCACAGGGGCAGTTCTGCCCTGCCCTGGAGGGCAGCTGTCAGGGGGAATCGAGTGTGTTTGGAGAGTTTTGAGATGAGTGCTTCGTCCATGAAAACTTGAAGTCCAGAAGGATGTTCAAATCCAAAGGCATACAGCCTTTTATAGAAGTCACCTTTTCTTGGGAGGCCTTTGAGGGGGTACAGAGGCTTAATGCGCTCAACAGCTCATCAACAAGTAAGTAGTTCACATCCACCGAGAGGCACCTCGGAAGAAATACCTGGTGATCCACTTCTGAAAACTCCCTCCGTGAGGCACTATTCTCCTGGGTCAGCGGCTGTCCTCTCGGTCCCACTCTGCTCTTTGTGCTGACCTCCCTCCCCGTGGATCCCCTAGAGCTTTTACAGCCACGGACATGGAAAGGTGCACACGCAGAGTCTGGTTTTGTTCGCTGGCAATAGTTCTTGAGTTTTGTGTTTTCTTGGCCAGTGAGGACGTAAGGCTGGCCATGCTGTGACCTGTGGGGCAGAGAGGGCCACGGGCTGGGTGGACAGGCACTGCCGTACCCTAGGTGGCTGTCCTCTGCCTTGACACGGTGTTGACTTGGGGGAGGAAGGGCCCGGTGGGCTCCTGCCTGGGTAGAGCAGACCCTCATAGCATACAGTGGGGATAAGATTCATTGGGAGCTTGGATCTTTTCAACAGTCCATCCTTCTCTGGAGGATGAGCAGACATCTGAGACAGGCGTGGCGTATTTGTAGGGAGCCTTCTTTTCAGGGTGAGCCCTGGAGGTGTAGTGGTTATGTGCTGGCCTGAGATCTGCAAGGTCCACAGTTTGAAGCCACCAGCTGTTCCGAGGGAGAAAGACAGGGCTTTCTACTCCTGTAAAGACTGACAGTCTTAGAAACTCACAAGGGGCAGTTCTATCCAGTCCTATAGGGTTGCTGTGGGTCAGCATTGGCTCGATGGCCATGAGTTTGGCTTTTTGGTTTGCGTTTCCTTATAAGGACATGGAGCTAATTTGATCCAAGTTTCCTTTGTATAACATGTCCTGGGCAGCAAGTTACTGACACTTGTTCCGGCCCCAATGGGGGTAAGATACCCAGGCCTCTTGTGAATGTTGTTGTAGGATTTGCGCTTCCCCTCCCTTTTAGTAATGAAGCTTCATCCCCTCCCACGTGGGTTCCAGACTTCCTCTGAATTTGATGTCAGCATTCTCATATGCTCTCCCTCTGCAGAATTATTAAGAAGAAATCCCAATTTCTGTCTCCACCCCACCCCACCCCAAAAAACAAAACATCCAACCTCTCCCTGTTGGGTCATTTCCAACTCACAGTGCCCCCACGGGCTACTGAGTGGAGCTCCGCTAGAGGCTATCTTTCCCTGTCATTGGGACAAAGGTTTGGAAAAAGTGCACTCTGAGGATCTCAGGGACACCCATGCCCACCCCCACCCCCTCCAGTCAGAGTGTAACTTTCTCATCTTTGCCACTCGACCTTGGCAAGAAGTAGGGTTGGCATTTGGGCTAATGATAGGGACACGCCTGCCCAAACCCAGGGGGCTCGAGTACATGATCACATCGTTGACAGACCAGATAGGAAGGCAGGCCAGCCCGCGTCTCTGCGCATCTCTGTGAGTGTGCTCCTGGTTCGTGCCTCTTATTCAGCTGCCCTGCTGACCCTCACAAAGGAGGATAAGTCTGCCCTGCTCCCCGGGCCACCCTTCTTGAGCAACCCCCAAAGACCCTGATGCACCAGGGTGCAAATACCTGGTTCCTCAGCAGCCCGCTGCCCCGCAGTGTGTATCCTACGTGCAGAGTGGGTGGTGGTCTTTCCCAGAGAGTCTAATCCAGTTGTTGCTGACAAGTTAATGTTTGACTCGGGGTGCCCCTGTGGCTGCTGGAACTGCGTCCTCGCATTTCCTCGGCTGTTAGTGGGGCACAAGCCGATCTCCAGGCCTTCCTGCCGTGGCATCGCCGGGTAGGTTTGAACCACTCACCTTTAGATCAGTAGTCCAGCACAACTGTTGGTGCCACCCAGGGGCCTTGGGTTGTGCACACTTGAGGGCATTTTCCATCGTCTTGCGGGACTGACAATGGACCCCCTGCCCACCTTGGCTGGCTTAACATGCGCTGAGTCCCCCTGCTCAGGTTTGTGTGGCAAAAGTATTTTCCTAAGGGAGTGTTCTCAGGTGCGGAGGAGAAAGTGTGCTTGCTCAAGTCGAGTCCATCCCCGAACCCTAACTAGTTGTTGCCGAGTTGACCTGACTCACAGAGACCCCATGCGTGTCACATAGCACCATGATTCCCCACCTCTC